TGGTATTCAGCTTCCCAAAGCCCCGCTGCTTCCCTGGCTGGTGTTCAGGGTCCTTACAGCTCCTATGGACGGCACACCTGGGAGCCAGAGCAGGCACGCGGGGTGCGGGCCAGGCCAAGGAGCTGCCGGGGCTGGGGAGGCGGCTCCCCAGTAGGGGCCTGGAGTGCCAGCTCAGAGCCCCAGGATGCCATCTCAGCTGTGGGCTGAAGCCTCCAGGAATTCCAAAGTCCACACACCTGGCTCTCCCAGCAGATTTGCTCTGGGCTCTGTCAGCAGGGGGCTCGGCTCCAGGTCAGCCATGCAGGAACTGGTCCTGCCGAGGGGGCGCCTGGTTCCCACGGCTGCGGCCTGGCTCCTTCCAGCCTCCCACCAGCACATGAGGCTGGGAGGGCCCTGGCTGTGCCCACAGTGCCCCCCCTGGACAAAGTGGGTCTAGATGACCTTCTATGATGATAGTCATGAGCTCTGGCCCTTGGGACCAGCCCTGGGCTGGTACCTTGGAAAAGACATCTCTGTGATGCAGGGGCTCTGGACAGCCCCTAGGCAGCAGAGGGAGCTCGAGGGCTCCAGGCCTGGCTCGCAGGGAGGCAGATGAAGAGCCCGGAAGCAGTCACGCCCAGGTCTCCATGGCTGCCACCCAAGTGCTGGGCAGGAGGCTCCATAACTCACCACCCTTTATAAGCAAGGCCTGCTTGGCTGGCCAGGGCAGGCTGCTCCCCAGGGCAGTGGGGTTAAAGCCTGGCCACACCCACGGCTGTGGATGTTTTCCTTAAGCACTGGATTTTTCCTCTCTTCCCGCTGCCCGGGGCTTCTCTACCAATCCGGCCAACACTGGCGTCCACACCACTCCCGGCTGCTTCCAGCTATCTGCCCTTTCTGCCAACTCCATTTTTCCACCATCTGCAGGCCGGGATCCAGGGCAGCGGGCAGGCCAGCTGCGTACTCCCCCTCGGCCCTGTCTGTTCCTTCCGCTGCCTCTTCCAGAAGGCCAGAGCCTGCTTTGGCCAGGGCGCGGTCCACGTGGGTCAGCTGGGGCAAGTCCTGGGCCCACTGCCTCAGTCGTGGGTGGTGCTCCTGCATGGTGCCCTGCGAACTTTGGGAACCAGGACATCCGGCCTCAGCAGGTCACTGCAGCCTGAGCCTCACTTTCCCCATCTAGAAAATGGGATCAATATTCTACATGAAGCCCACGACTTTTACAGAACTTCCCATTGCGCTGTTTCCATCACACAGGCCTCTTCCCAAAGCAGACCGCTCTTCTTTGTGCAGTCCTTGTCTAGTCCTGAGTGACACTGCCCTGGGAGATGTTTCTGTGGACAGGGACATGTATGTGGGCTGAGGCCAGGATCAAGGGAGGTCCAGGGAGGACAGCAGCCTCCCAAAGGTGAGCCCCTTCTGCAGAGCGCCCTCAGAGGGACGCCTAAGAGAGAAATGCCTCACAGGAACGGTTTTTTGTTTTTGTCTTTTTGAGACAGGCTTTCACTATGTAGTTCAGGCTGACCTCGAACTCACAGCAATCCTCCCACCTCAGCCTCCTGAGCACAAGGATTATAGGAAGGCACCACCACGCCTGGCCTAGGAAACAGGTTTCGGAAGGCACAAACACATTTACCCGGAGCTATGTTTCCCAGCGCCCCAATGAGCACTCGGGAACACACCCTCCTCTGGCGCAGTGGCCCTGCCCACAGCATGGCTGTAGCTCTAGGTTCTAGGAGACATTTCTGGAACATTTTAGAACCAAAATATTTTTCAACCAAACCTTTTAAAAACCACTTTCAAAGCCAGCCTATTTGAAACTTGACACTTGAAAACCGACTCTGCAAGTCTGTGCCCGAGTTTCAAAGCCCAAAACTTCTGGAAAACTCCTGGCAGCAAAATACTTTGGAATGAGACCAACTGAAATGGCAAACAGTTCCATCCAGATTGCTTTTTAAGCCGATTTTTCATTTTTTGAGACAGTCTCACTATGTGGTTCAGGTCAGCCTTGAACTCAATATATAACCCAGGCTGGCCCAGAACTCCTGTTAAGCCTCCTGCCTCAGCCTCCTGAGAGTACTGGGATCGGTTTGGGCCACCACACCGGAATTAAGCCCCCAAGTTTTACAAACTGCCTTGAAATAAAAGCGGTTTCATCAAAGCCAGATCTTTCACTGGAATTTTCCTGAGAAGAAACCGGGATGGCTGGCAGCCCTTGAGCAAGTTCTCGCTTGCATGGCAAAGGCACCCATGGCACCGTCAGAGGCCAGGAGGCTCCTGGATTTCTGCTTTCTGTACGCCTCTCGAAGCCCCTCCCAGCTATCTCCCCCAATGCCTTCCCAAACCAGGCATCGAGTGTCTGTCTCAGTGACCAGCCCTCTCAGCCTGATGCTCTCTGTGGGGGGACGCTTGTGGCCTGTATGCGGCCGAAGCTGCAAGGCACAAGCCCAGGGGTGCCGTGAGATGGGGCACCTGAGTCCCACCCCGCCTGTGCTCGCTCACACTGCCATTTTGTGCTTTCACATCCTTCACATTTCATTCTTCCAAGAAGGCCGCTGAGCGCCACTGTGAGCAGTGCCAGGTGGCACAGGTGACCCTGAGGACACTGTGGCCAGTGAAACAGGCATAAAAGGACAAATTCCATGTGACTCCATGTCCATGAAGCCCCTAGAGGAGTCAGATTCCTACAGAGGCAGGGTGGTGGGAGCCGGGAGGGGGACGAGGAGTTCGTGTTCGTGGGTGCAGCTCCAGGTTGGGAAGGTGGGAGTTCCGGGGTGGAGAGCGGTGACAGCTGCACACCAGCGTGGGTGTGCTCAGGGCCCCTGGATGTGCACTTACACATGGTTACAATGTGCCCTTTTGGAACTGAAATGAACACCAAGGAGAACCATCCCCACTACCAGCCTCTGATCATCCAGGAAAGTATCATAATGGAATCAACTTCTTTTTTCTTGTGAGACATCCCTTCTCTAGACAGGAAGGCCTGCCATGTAACAATAAAATATAACGGCTTTACTTTAATTATTATTATCTTAGTAAAAAAAATTTTTTTCAAGGTCCCTACTTCAAATATGCAAGCGCAGCTGTCCTGCCTTCCACATCTGGAAGGGCCTGGTGCTGAGGCCCTACCTGCCCTCTCCTCCTCCCCATGCGGATTCTCCAGGGGGCTGGGTCCGTCTCCTCGGAGTGAGGTCTAGGAGCTCACTTAGCACAGGGCTCCATGCTTTGAACCTTATAAGCAGAACATTGTCTGGAACCCAGAAAGGCACAGCTGAGGTTTTAGCTGGTGCTTAGAGAAGGAAAAAAGACAGTGCCTCCCCTCCTCTACCCAAGGATTTCAGTGTTTCTACACACTCAAGTGTAAGGCAGAAATCTCACACCCTGCAAAAACAAAAATGCACGAACATTGGTGGCCCCCCACCCCAACTATAGGAGGAGACAGAACTGTACCAGTTTCTAAGTTGTCCTTTAAATTCTACCAGACAGACCTAAGTGTGATGCTCTTCTGTGAGTTTTGCATGCACAAAAATCTACTAGTGTTGATGCATTCCCACCCAAAGAAGGTAACAAGAATGCCAGCTCACCAGCTGGTCCACGGGCACCCTTCTGCAGGCACCTCAGGGTGGGCATGGGCCTGAGCACTGCCCCGCCCACCTGAAGACCTTCTATCCAAAGCCCTGACTCCAGCCTGGGCTTGTGTGAGTGAGCCAGTCCCCAACATGCAGGTCAGGTCCCAGGTTAGGTTCAGCTCCACCCGGAGACCTTGGCAGGGGCTGCCCAAGCCCACCTCTCAAACTTCAGCACGTCACTAGTCCCGCCCACTGTCGGCTCCCCAGCACTGCCAGCCCCAGCTGAAGGTGCGAAGAGCAGAAGGAAGCAAGGCTGTGTCCATTTATCACTGTCAACCAGCAGACCTCATCAGACAAGCGTGACACTACTGTCATGGAGGACAATTGCTCTCGAGATGACACCCAGGATGGCCACATGGAATCATCCAGGCCTCTGACCCAGTGTCGTGTCCTTAGCAGCTTCCCTCTCAGAGATGCATTAAGTAATTCCTGAGAAGAATCTCCCACATTCTCCAATTCGTCTCTACTGGTCTGAACTGGGATCCCAGTGGGGGAGCTTGCCTCCATCACTGGGTTGTGGCAGAGTAACTGAATATCTATACTATTTCAGAATACTAATACATCACCAGTGCCCCAGAGAATGCCTGCACTTTCAGAGGTCACGTGATTCTCCATTACTGCAATGTCTTCAATCCCAGTTGATCCAATGCCAACATATTAGTTAATAGACTGATGTGTCAGTCAAGGTCCTGTATGTTAAGTGCCACAAATCCAACTCATTATTTTAAGCAAGTGGATGCTTATCAGACCCCACACCTGAAAAGTATGGGTAACTCTAGCTTTAAAAGCTGGACTCATCTGGAGGTCTATGCTCCTCTGTCCCCTGCCTTACTTCCTCCCCTGCTGGGCTAAGTGGCACTTCTAGGTGGGGCACAGCTGGCTACAAGCTCTCTGGGCCAGAGCCAGATGGGGTGGGAGATGCAACACCAAGATGGGGCGGAGGCTCCTCCGGGCACAGGTCCCTGCTGGCTGTCAGCAGGTCCAGCCCTGTGGCTCAGCGGGGGCTTGATGGTAACTTGCAGAGGGGCTTCTGTGCACCATGACGCAGCGCTCAGACCCGGTCTACTGGTTTTGGGTAGAGGAGGTGACACAGGCTGGAGGACAGAGGCAAACAGAGTTAAATACTTCTAAGTTTGGAGAATGTCTGGTTAAATTATCTAATTGTGTAATACTATTTTTTAAACTGTTTTTTCTTGGTAGGGAAAAAAACAGTCAAATTTCTGTACAGGCTACCACACACTGTGGGCCAGAGACATGGCAGAGAATCAGAGGAAATGAAGTCTCCCCTCCGGCACAGTGGGGTGGCCCTCTTCCACAGCCCATCCCCCACCCCTCGGCCTAGCTGGTGGCCCTGCATAGGAGCTGGGTAGGCAAGTGAATGTGGCTGGCGTGTGCTCCAACAACCCATCAAAGGAAGGCGGTGATTTTTAGTGTGGTGGAGAATGTGCCCAGGGTCACCCGGCAGCCACAGACCTCACAGGCCTTGATCCCTCCTGGACAGTGGGGACAGGCAGGGACACTGCGCTGCAGAGATGCAGTGAATGCCCCTACAGAGCACCACCAACACTCCAGGGAGCGGCAGTGCTGACCAAGTGCCATGAATGGAAAGACAATGCCGGTGTGCTGCCAACAGCAGGAATTTCTGCAGCAGCGCCATTCAGCATGGCGGCAAGGTCAGCCTGCAGAGGGGTGTGGCCGGGTGCTCAGGGGCCTCCTAAGGTGCCTTCAGGGGCTTCACCCCCACTCCATACACACACCTGAGTGTTCAAGGTCAGCCGTGTCCTGAGGGCAAATGGCACTGGAGCTGAACCAGCCAGTGTGAAACACAAGGGCACCTGAGCTCCCCACTGACAACAGTGCCCACGGGAACAGTCCAGTGGTGACAACCTCCTGCCACACCACCCCTGCTGACTATGATGGGGACAGCTTCCACTGTCTAAGGGATGGCTGGAGGGGGAGGTTGGCTTCCCCTGTGGCTCTGACTCAAAGATAGCTTCTCTATGTCCCAACCCGATCTCAGACAGAAAGCCCCGAAGCATACGCGGGCTTGCACTTTTAAAGGATTTGCCTGCCACCCCTTTAAAAATACAAGCAAGGCTTGTATGGGTCACGTTGTCCCCCAGGGATCTGCATGTGGATGCTTGGTCCTCCACAGGTGGGCCTGGGGGCAGCCCTCAGGTCGAGGGGCTCATGCCCTCAAAAGGCACCACGGGACCCCAGCTGCACTCCGGCCTCCCATCTTGCCATGTGACCCCTGCCACTGCCCCCACCCTGAAGTCCTCACCAGAGCCAAGGTGAGGTTGGACGATGCGGAACCTCCGAACAATAGGCTCACAAACCTCTTTGTGAACACTGACTACAACAGCCTGCCTTCAGATTTCTGCTGCTCCTCCCCACTGAGACACCATGAAGCCTCCCTCTCTGGTGTCCGCGGGAGGCCTGGGGTCCCCATCTACTGCTGTCCCCGCCCACCGTGTGCTTGGTGCGCAACCCGAAGAACTTCAGAGTGCTGAGAGCGCAGCTGCCGCGCTTTACTCTGGTTCTCCTCCACTTTCATTTTAAATATCTGAAATATATTAATCTTAGAAAACAATATTAACACAGTGCTCAGAGAACACAGGCTGTGGAGTGAACGGCAAGCCCAGGCTGCGAAACCGGGGGTTGTTTAAAAACCGGAGCATGTGAAGTCAAGCCCAGACCCTCGGCAGCCTCCCGGATGGGGCGTGTGACACCCCGAACAAGGGCAAGGAAGCAGAAGGGACAGCTCGGCCCCAGTGCCCTGCTCGGATGTGGCACCACGGCAGGCCCCCCGGGGCTTTGGGGGACAGGGCTAGCACAGTCTTGGAGTGGGCCTCAGTCTCTGAGCAGGTGTTCGGGCTTGGGGTAGCCAAAGAGAACGAAGTCCGCCTCGTAGAGTTTGTAGAGTTGTCGCCGCCAGGCCAGTGGGATCTTGGCGAACCAGTCCTCCTCCCAGCTGCTGGCAGTCCTGTTCCGGTAGCTCGGGGGGAAGTGGACCTGCGCGTCCACCTTGAGGAGCCGCAGCAGCTGGGCTGCGTCCTCATCCAAGGTCTCCAGCTTCCCCACGAAGTCGTAGTCTATCTGGCACGGGTGGCAGAGGCGGTACACCTGCCGCCAGTGCTCGTTGAAGGGCGCCAGCTTCTCGGTGTGCGGGTCCAGCAGATACTGGATGAAGTTGGCGAAGGTGACCTTGAGGCCGGCGCTGAAGGCCTCGCTCACCGAGGTGGGCAGGCTGGTGCGGTTGGCGTAGAGCCGCAGCATGGGCGCCGCGAACTTGCGGTAGAATTCCTCGTTCTCCAGCTCGAACTTGCTGCGGAAGGCCGAGATGAGCCGCACGAAGGGGTCGCGCACGAACAGGAACTTGGTGTACTTCTTCAGCTTGATCTTCATGAGGTGCCGCGAGAACCTGCCGTAGCGGCGCCAGAACTTGTTGAAGGTCAGGTGCGTGCTGGTGTTGTGCACGCGCTCGCGCGGGATTTCCAGCGGGTCGCGGTAGGGGGCGCCGCGGTCCAGCAGGCTCTCGCTCAGCACGATCATCACCCGCTTCCAGTTGGTGCACGCCACCTTGGGCACGTAGCAGTAGATGACGCCGTGGCGGTCGTCCACGATGAGGTGGTTCAGCTCGTAGTTGGGGATGTCGTCGAAGGAGCGCTCCTTGGTGGGGAAGGCCAGGCTGGAGTTGGCGCAGAAGCTGCGCAGCACGCTCCTCCGCTCGGCCTGCTGCTGGCCTGCATCGGGGTGCTGCTGGGCGCTCTGCGGGGACCAGTCGTAGCCCCTCACGCTCTCCTCCATGCGGCTCTGTGCCGGCTTGCTGGGGGCTAGCACCTGGGGCTGCTCGGTCTTTTTCTTGGAAAAGTCACTTTGCTTTGCACCGGAAGTGAGCAGCTTATCTAGAAATTCGTCCATATCGGAGGTGAGCTCTTTGTCCTCCCCCTGCCCCGGGGTGGGGAGAGGCGCCAGTGCGTGGGTTCTGGACAAGGAGGTGTGCAGGTAGAAGTGGGCAGTGCCCACGTTGTCCCAGTACACTATGATGAGCAGGACCATGAGGACAGACCCCAGCGCCAGCCACAGCCGGAAGAGCCGGGGCTTGGTCATGCTGCCCCGGCAGGGCTGGGCCCGCGCCTGGACCCTCTCACTTCAGCTTCACAGAGAGCCAGGGCATCGCTCTGGGGTGAACCTGGAGGAACAATGACACCATGTTAGCAGCAGCCCCTCTCACAGTTCCTCGTACCCCCGCCCTCCGTGCTTCTGACCCAGCCTTCTTAGGCTTCATCAGCATCCACCTCCTCTGTGCAAGGTGACTGAGGACACTCAGAACGACCCAACACACGTGCAACCAAGGAGACAAGCAGAGATCTTCCGTCACTGTACCACACAGAGGAAGGTCTAACAGCAAGGAGCTCCTCTCCAGGAGGAGGAGGAGGTGCAGTGAAAAACAGTCACCAGGAGGCTAAAGCCAAAGTTTAGGAAAATGCTGAAGATGCCCCTTCCCTAAAACGCCCTTCCACTGCGCGCACCTGTTAGAGATCACCCCTGCGGTGGCTGCCTGTGAGGGGAAGTGCCCTCCCCACACGGCACAACAACCTGCTTCCTGCTGGGTCTACCGCTTGATGTGGAAGGTGTGAAATATTCAACTAGTGAGCTTGGAGCCCAGGTCAGCAGGGAGGTGGGGGAGATGCGGGACACAGGCCAGGTTCCAGAGCTCCAATACCCATCTCATGAGTGGAGCTGGGAACATGCGCATGGTGGCCTCACAACAGAAAGCTTTTCAGCAACACCTGTTTCACGTAAGCCAAATACCAACGCAAGGCTACACGGGGGCCGTCCAGGAGCTGACCTTCCAGCCTTTCCTTCCCCAAACTCCTGACCCCTAACCAGGCCCCGGTAGCTGTAGTTCTGGGGCCAGGCAGGTAGCTGAACCCCTTCTCTCCACCCAGAGGAGCAGGAGGTGCTTTGATATAGTCCTGCAGTGGCTGGCCTCAAGCCCACTTGGTGTCAACAAGGTGGAAGGAAATGGTGCAAGGCAGGACACGTGCCCTCTGACCCACCCCCTCCCACCAGTGGGACACCTTAGGAAGCTGGGCTCACCCTACTCCTGTCCCCATCAGCACCCATGGGGTGGAGCCAAGTGGCTGGAGGTGGGGCTGGCTGGCATGCCACTTTCTCCACTCCTCTCTGCTGGGTGTAGAGAACATTAGCCAGACAACATTAATTGTCAGGAAGTAGAGATGACTAGATTAATACCACATGCAGTAAACTTCAAGGAAAAATTACAAGAAACAATACATTGCACCCTCAGGACCAAGTGCCATGGAACCCAAGCTGTGGGAAGGACACCCCAGCCCAGCAGCATGTGTGCAGACTGTATGTAACTGGACATCTATTTGTGAACATGTAGAGTCAGATATCTGGATGAGCATTCATCAAGACAGCACTGGCAAATAACCTTGGGTACTTGGGTGATAAGTGTCCTTGGGCATCTGGGTGACTCTGTTGTGGTTTATATCTAGATGTCCTGCAAAGCCTCATGCACTCACAGGGGGTGCTTTCAGGTGATGATTGGATCATGGGGGCGTGATACTTACCAGCGGATTAGCCCACTGGTGAGTTTATAGCTAAGTGATCACATTGGGAGGTAAAGCCCAGTTGGAGGAGGTGAGTTACTTCTTCTGCTCCTCCTTTGTTTGTTCTCAGCTTCCTGCTGCCACGCCATGGACCAAAACCCCTACAAAGTGGGAGCCTTTCATAAACCTTTCCTCCTTAAGTTATGGGTGTTGGGAATTGTGTTCCAGCAATGAGAAAGCAACTAAGACAATGACTTCTTTGTGGTTTACTGTATCTAAATGTTTTTGTTTATATTAACTGTTGTTTTTTACTATCAGAACACAATGTTCATTTTTTAAAATATAGGCTAGGGCCGGGGATATAGCTCAGCAGCATGGCACCTGCCTAGCAACTGCAAGGTCATGAGTTCCATTCCCAGTACCAAAAAAAAGAAAAGAAAAGAACAATTAAAAATATAAAAATATAGGCTACTGTTATAGTTAACTGTGTCAACTTCAGTAAGAAATGCTCAACTAAATTGGATCAACATAGTTCTAGGTGTGGCTGAGAGGAGTCCCACCTCTGGCCGGCTTGTCCCCTGGATGAGATAAAGGGAAACAAGGAAAGCTCACTTCTGTTTCTTCAGAGGAGCTCCAGTCTTCACCCTCACCTTGGACGTTGTTTTAGGGCTTCCAGCACTGACCCTTTGGCCTACTGATATGGACTCACATGGACACGACAGTGAGCTCCAGGCCTTCAACTGGATCTTTCAGATTTCTGGCACAGACAGCCCTTTCGCACTCTTCCACACCTGACTCTCTGGGCGGCCATTGTAAGCCTGCCTTGTAAATCTTCATAAACTTACATAGCTTGCATTAAATCTGTTTCTCTAATAAGCACTGACTAATACAGATTTTGGTACCAGGGTGGCTCTAGAGAAACAGAATTGTAAAGATGAAATTCTTTAATGGCTTTAATGGTTCCTGGAGTTGGCTCTCCAATTTGATGAGAACTAAAGATGTCATGGTCTCTCCTTCTGATACTGTGGGAAATTCTGATAGTCCTTGGTGTGAACTCCTTAAAGGAGTATGCAGTGTAGATCCATTGGATTATCCTAATTCACCACTTGTGAAATGTATGGAATTTAGTGATTCCATATATGATACTTTTGAATATTTTTGGCAGAGTGGGAAATACAATGATGCTGGCTGGTTGCTCTTAGCGTCTCTGGACAAACTAGTGAAGGAAAATAATGAGCTCAAAACATCCATAGGAAATCTAAAGTCTTCGAACTGAGGACAAATTAATAAAGGAAAATAAGGAGCTCAAAGATCCAAATTCCCTGCTCCGGACACCTAAGTATCTAAGCGTTTCTAAGTATGTCCTGAAAGAGCAACTCCTCTCTTTTAGCTGCAGGGTAGAGATTGAAGAAACCCCAACCAAAGTCCTTCTAATTTGATTGGATGAAAATACAGCGTAAGTTTAATGCTCATCCTCATAGAGTATCTGAAATAAAAGTAAGGGTACTGATTGGAAAAGAATGCGATCCCACAAGCTGGGATGGAGATGTTTGGGAGCATCCTGACAAGGCTCAGGATGTTGAGCTACTTACGGGATGCTAATGTGATTATTTTGCCAGAGGAAGAGATTTCTCCACCCACAGCGGTGGAGGCACCCTACCCCCACCCCCTGTGGAATTGGCCGCTCCTCCTATACCTGAGGAAACTAACCCTGTGTTGACCAAGCATGATAATGCTGACACTCCCCGAGACCCACCATCACCACCCATTTTTGGGCTTATAACCAAGCTTATAAGCCAAGCTCAAATCACAGAAGGCTCCTAAGAGTGAGGTACACAGTGTGACCCATGAGGAAGTCCACTATTCTCTCAACAAACATCTGAATTTTCTGTTATAAAAGGAGGCCTGATGAGCAACTGTAGAAATGGATCTTACGGGTGCGGGCTAATGGTGGCAAGAACAGACATCTGGGTCAGGCTGGGTTTGTTAATATGGGCCTGGTAGGTCGGGATTCTGAATTCAGTGTTGCAGCTTGCAGAGTGAAAAAAGGTGTTAACAGTTTATTAGACCGACTGGCAGAAGTATGGCTCTAAAGATGCCTCACTGTGAATGAGTTAGAGAGGCTTGATATTCGGTGGTTTACTGTTGATGAGGGGACTCAGAAGCTTAGGAAAATGGGAATGGTGGAATGGATCTGTCATACCAAATCTAATTCACCACACTGAGATGACCCAGAAAATGTACCCTTCACTAATACCCTGGGAAACAGATTCATGAGGGGAGCACCTGCATCCCTGAAAAGCCCCGTCACTGTCTTGTCTAGTCTCAGACCTTACAGTGGGGACCACAGTTACTCAACTGGGAAATTTAAGGGCAATGGGTTTCACTAGATCCTGGAGTGGCAGGGGTCAAGTGGCAGCACTTCATCACCAAAGGCAAGGTACATATACTTTTCATAATGGACAGCAGAAGTAGAACAATGATCAGAGCGGTCTCATACGTGTAGACCTATGGTGCTGGCTGATGAGCCACAGTGTTCTCGAAAGTGAAATAGATGTGAAGTCTAAAAGTTTTTACTAGATTTATATAATGAGAAGAAATTTAAGGGCAAATGAATAGAAATCTGTTCAAATCGCAGTAACAGAGAACCATGGCCCCTCAAACATTTCCCAGATCTGAGCCAGTTTACAGACCCAGAGTTCCCTGAATGAAGGGGAGCCTAAGTCTCCTTGAAGAAGGACCTTGGTGCACCACCAAAAATTTATACAGTCAGTCTTTCTCCCATCCTTCTTCAAAGGGACTTTGAGGAAGGATTTTTATCAGGGTAATTGTACATTGGGGGAAGGGAAATGATGGGACATTTTGGGGACTACTAGACACTGGTTCTGAACTCGCACTGATTTCAGGGGATCCAAAACATCATTATGACCCTCCATTGAGAGTAGGGGTCGACGGAGGTCAGGTGATCAACGGAATTTTAGCAAAGGTCCAACTCACAGAGGAGATAATTGGGCGATATATTTAGTACTTGGCAGAATCCTCACATAGGTTCTTCAACTTGTAGTATCAGGAAAGGCCAAATGGAAGCCATCAGAGTTGCCTTTACCTGGTGAAATAGTAAACAAAAACTACACTGCATTCCTGGGGGTATTGCAGAGATTAGTGCTAGGACCAAGGGCTTGAAGGATGCACAGGTGGTGGTTCCCACCACAGCTCCATTTAATTCTTCCATTTGGCCTGTGCAGAAGACAGATAGTTCTTGGATAATGATCACAGATTACAGTAAAATGAATCAATTTGTGACTCTGATTGCAGCTGCTGTACCAGATGTGGTTTCCTTGCTTGAACAGATTTAACACATCTGCTGGTACTTGGTACACAGCTATTGATTTGGCAAATGTCTTCTCCATACCTATCCATAAGGCCCATGGGAAGCAATTTGCTTTCAGCTGGCAAGGCCAGCAATATACCTTCAGTGTCCTACCTCAGGGTTAGAGTAACTCTAGCACTGTGTCACAACTGAGTTTGCAGGGATCTTGGTCACCTTTCTCTCCCACAAGGTATCACACGGGTCCATCCCATTGATGTTACGCTGACGGGATCAAGTGAGCAG